TGGCCAGCACTGAAGAGTAACCTCACAGCATGGGAGCCTGGCTCACTCACTCTCAGCCCCATCTGGCCCCTGTGCAATTTCTGTAACATCTATAAACCAGGCCAACAGCAGCTGATTGTTTCCAGAGTCCTTTGAAAGACTAGGAGGAGCACTGTAATAAGACTGAGAAGAAAAGGGCTCTTAAGGAGTTGAGGAAGTGCCTGCTAAAATTGGCCCTTAGCACTGTGCTGGCTTCCTCCTGAACAAAGCCCTGGGTGAACTGCTTTGCCTTAATGGGCTCAGCTGTAAAATGAAGGAACCATGCTGAGCAGCCTGGCCAGCCTTGGGCAAGGGCAAGGGCTAGGTGAGACTCTAGTGAGACTCAAGGCCCACACCAGATAAGCACAGAAGCCTGGAGAGCCCGCCCCGTGCAGAGCACCACGGAGAGTCAGCGAAGTTCCATGGGGAATTTGGATCAAAAAGAAATTGGCTGTGTCAGGGCATTTTGCCTCAGAAGAGAAATCAGTGTGCGGTGGCCAGGCCCAGCAGGGGTTTCCAAAGCAGATGGATGTAGCTACACTAAAAGGGCATTTTAGCCACAAGACAAATATACAATTCCCTGGATGCCCCTGGCTCCTGGAAAACAGCCCTCCTGAGACCCTTGCTCAACATTTTTCTGGGCCTCAGTGGAATAAAGTCCTGGGCTCAAGCACAAATGAGGCTTTCCTTTTATTAAGCTGCTTCTTCTTAGATGCCTTCCATGAATTCACTGTTCACTCATGTTTCTTGCTAAAGGGAGCAAAATATATTATTAGAATTTGTTTTAGAGATGCTATGCCAGCCCCCCCCCCAAAAAAAAAAGATAAAAATGAAAAGGAACACTCACTAGGCTCTACCATGTATATGGACTGTGAGACTAGTTGACCTTGGCTTTAGCTTATTTTGCTTTTCAGCAAGTGTGCAGCGGCCTAAGCCAGTTCTGAGCAGAAACTTGAGCCCAGATGTCCCATCCCATGCTGTGCCATCTTCAGAATTTCGAGGCAAACACAAGCAATTCAAATATCACAAGCGACTCAAATACCTACAGCCCTTCCCCAAAGTAGGCAGATAGTTCCTCAAATTTTAGCCCATTTGGCAAAGTTACCCACAATCAAATCTACTCCTTTGGGTATAAAGTGGTGGGTAGAGACATATACACACACACCCCTAAGCTACAGCACACTTTGACTCTTTGCTAACCAGCCCCACCTCCACAAGGCGCAGGGTACTTATGCTCCCCCTGGAAACTACTCCCGACAAGACAGGGTACGTTTACTGCTTTCCAGATTCCTTCCTGCTGCTCTTTATAATAGCTCCTTCCCCTGCCTGGCAACAAGTGATCTACTTTCTAGTTCCATAATTTTTCCCTTCTCAGAAAATATCTATCATCATAAAATCCCTGGTATCTATGAATCCAAAGGATGCTGCCCATGCTTGGAGACACTGCTGCAGAAACCCTAGTGGATATGAGAAACCACAGATATATTAAACCTGTATAGTGTATAGGCTGTTCTTTTTCCTATAAATATATGCCTATAACAAATTTTAACTTACAAATTCAGCACGGTAAGAGATTAGCAATAACTAGTGATAACACAACAATTATACTGTAATAAAAATTATGTACTTTCTGTTTCTGACTCTATCTCTCTCTCATTGTCTTGTCAATTTTTTTTTGCCTTTGGTTTTTGAAACAAGGTCTTCCTATTTAGCCCAAAAAGTCTTGAACTTACTGTGTAGCCTAAGTTGGCCTCAAACTCACCACGATCCTCCTGCCTCAGTCTCACAAGTCCTGGAGTTATAGACATGTGCCACCAAGCCCTCATCCTATTCATTTTAGCAATCTCAGAATATGATGCTTCTTCTTTTCTTAAGTGCGTAACTAATTAAAACAACCCTCTCATGGCTTCTCTTTGACATATCTGAATTGGAATCACTCATATCCTTCAGCTTTGGTACCATACCACAAAAAATTAAGATCATTTAAATATAGCATTGCAATGTCATGACAATCAACCTGATAACTTTATGGCTACTCAGTGATTAAGAAGAGGGTAGCATATACACTGTAGATACACTAGAAGGGGGATTCTTCACATTCCAAATGGGCTTGGGCAGGAAATCATAAGATTTCGTTATGTTACTCAGAAAAACTTATGAATTGTTCATCTATGGAATTTTCCATTTAACCTTTCCAGACAATAGTTGGCCACGGGTCCCTGAAACTCCAGGAAGTAAAACTGCACTCCAAGGACAATTGTAATGTAAACCACAACTGGGGTAGGGAACAGAATAATGATCCTAAAAGCCAGGAAATCTTTAATTTCCCCACCCTTACAAGAAACAAATAACAGGTCACCTTAAGACAAGCAGAGAGGGCCAGAGGTCTCAGGAGGGCTAAAGCCTACAGAGGGACACTGCACAACTCCACTCTATTTCAGGAACTCACAAAAGATTAATTCATCCCTTCACTCAGCCTTAACTTTAAGCTCTGGACTTTTAGCAAGTACAGCAGATTCCCACAGCCAGGGAATGAAACTGCCAGGGACTTACAGGCTGTTGGATAAAGAACATCACTCTAAACCTGGGAACTTCATCCCCAGAGAGCCTGAAGGATGGGAAGGACCAAAGGGGAGAAGGGATGGGGCTTAGAACACATTACCCCAAACCAAGGCATGCTGGTCCCAGAGGAAGCAGCAGAAGCAGGAAGGTCTCCCTGACATCTTGCTTTCTTCCAGGAAGCAAGGCAAAAATTCATGGACCTAACTCGGAAGCACATCCTAACACTCTCACATTTCAGATGCCCTTGCTACACCCTAAGGCATAGCCTCACTTCTGAAGACACAGAGAGGAATCCAAATGACAGGGCTTAGCTTGGTCTCCCAGGTTGGTACCACTGGATCACACTTCCTTAGTGTGCTACTGACTGTGTTTCTGTGGGACTCTTGATTCTCATTTCTGAAGGCTCCTGTGTCATGTAAGACTTAACAATAAATAAACTTGTATATTTTTCTCTTGATTTTTATTATAGGTGCCAACTCAGCTGCAAATGTTTCAATGAGTGAGGAACAGGTACTATATTTTCCTCCCTGCAGGAGGAAGAGAGGGAGGAGACTCAGGCCAAACCCAGCTCTGCTGAATCAGTCTTGACCTCCAGCACTGTCCCTAACCAGGAGACCCATTCCCACCTGTTCCTCTTTGAACCAGCACAATCCTCTCCTTGACCTTGATATAGCTTGGATGTAGAATGCCCCCCATGGGTCATCCGTTAAAGGCCTGGTCTCTACCCACTGATTGCAGACTAAAACCTCCAAAGCTATAAGCCAAAGAAACCTTTCTCTTTGCAAGTGATTATGTCCAGTATCCGTAACAGTGATGGGAAGTTGACTCACTCAGAGCACACATGCAAAGGTATGTCCCCATACCCATCCTTCAGTGCTGCTGCCCTTGCCTTGGGACTCGAGCCATCTACCTGCAACAAGCGGCACATTTGCAGCTCCTCTACCCAGAGCTCTCAAGGCCAAGTTTGGGTGTGTGAAAGCTGTCAGGTCAAAATGGAGTTGCTTGTGTCACAAGCCTCAACCAAAGATAAATAAAGCCCCAAGGTGATGGATGACCACAACTGTCATAAGAGTTTGCATAAGCTAGACCCAGGCACAGAAAATGCTTCTTCAAGGACATCTGTCCTACTATGTTCTATTGAACCTTGGATGGTGCCATCCTTGGTATTGGTCCTTATAGTCAAAAGCTGTGATCAAAAAACAATGTATGTAACTCTTGTTATTTTGCCCATGAGGAGTCCCTCATCTCAGCCTCCTTGGCCACACACACAGTTGAGTATGGCACGTGTGTTCCCATTGCAATATCCTTTCTCAAGCAAGCTCTATACTCTTCCCAGAGCATCTCTGGTAATCACAGCTTGACAACAAGGTCTCTCACAAGGCCTGGGGACACGAACCCAGCTCAGTGAAGATACACAGGCTATCTGGCTAGCAGGGATAAGAGTGACAGCAGCTTTGCTTTGGCATAAGAACATCAATTTGATTACTGGACTATGATTGATTCTTAAGCAGCCCAGAAGGCAGTGAAAGGATGTCCTGCTCTTCAAAGGGTACAAGTGGATGCTCGGTAAAGAATGTGGTCCTGCAGACATCCACAAGGCCCGAAGGGCCCACATGGGGAGTTCTCTTAAAGGCTAGAGAGGAACAAAGTCGAGCCTGAAGCTCCACCTGATAGGGCCGAGCCAAGCAGCGCACCCAGTCAGTTCGCCAGACTACTTTCTTCTTCACACACAACCTGCAGACGAGGAGCTCTGGAGCCTCAGATCAAGACAGAGGGAAGTCCCCAGGGCCTTTTACAGAATGACTTTCTTAGGGTGGGAGGGAGAAAGTGAGGGGAGACAGGGGGTTCTCTCTGTTCATTAAGGTCGCACTCCAGAGAAAAGAATTAAATAGACCCACATTTAGACCTGCAGGCAAATATTAAGGATTCTTTTGTGCTGTTTTATGAACAGACCACATTATAAACATTTATTATCATCCATTATGATCTGGTTTTGGTAATCACAATGGGTAGGATATACACAAATATATGAAGGCCTGATTCTAATAATATATTGTAATATACACATTCTAAGTATATATTTAAGTACAATATACAATAGTGTAACCTATGCAATAACCATGTTATATATGACTTGTATAGTGTATGCCATATAAAATTCTGTATGAACTTGTACATCCTAATATAGGTCATTGAACTAGAATGCAAATAAAACTAATATATAAAAGCTTTTTCCTTGCCCTTACATATTTAAACCATCTACCAAAATTGTGCATATTTAGTAATCATCTAAGAATTATTCAAACCTTAAATAATTGTGTAATGTGATGGAAAGCCCTCCCAGTACTGACTGCACCCATGGGGCATGTGGTCCCCAACTCCCTCAGAGAGGGAACTGAGGCCATGTGGGAAGGACCGACCTGCTTCCATTCACCTCTCCTGCAGGGCGCACAGGTGGTCAGAGGAGCACTACACCCATGGGATGCCTGTACAGGGCTCTTCCTCCCATCTTCAGAGGAGGGTCTGGAAGGACTGGCTAGGGTGGCCATCCAGGCAGCTGCCCCTGTGCCATCCATCTGCTGCTCATCTTCAATAGTCAGGCTCTGGACCAGCAACCGACAGGCCTCCAAGTCAGCTTCCCACACTCTTCCAAGCAGCAGACACTTGCAACTAAAACAGAAGTCACAGAGGCATCAAAATTAACTGAGTGATGTCTGGTCCTATCAAGCCACTGGCTTGTCCACCTGTCTTACACTGACAACATAATTTCACATGGTGAAAGAGTATTCTAGTCAGAGGACTCAGAAGACCTGACTCTAATCCCTTAAGTCACTGAGAAGTGACAGTCCTTTCCAGCTGCTTGATCTACAAAGCTATCCTGAGTCCTCAGTGTCTCTCCAGTCAGTCACACAAAATCACAGCTTTTCCTGTCAGGGCTCTGGGCAACTAATGCCCAGGAGTCCTGTCTCAGTTGCCGTAACAAAATTCCTGACACCCAAATTAAGGAAGGAAAAGTTTAGTTAGCTCAGAGTTAATAGAGATTTTAGTCTATACTTGACTGGCTCCAAGGTAGAGTGGCACATGACAGAGGGCAGCAGTTCATGGTGGTAGAAAACAGCAAAGAGCAAAGGGAGGGGCAGCAGCTGTGGCTGCTAGTAAGCCTCTCTCCCTTCCTTATGTTGTATTCAGGTTATTAGCCCCAGGGCAGGTGTAGCACTCATACCCATAATCCCAGCATTGGACCATGAGTTAATCACAAACTCTAGAAGCCTGCACCACTGACTTCATGAGGTTTAGGGGGGACAACTAAATGCAAACCATAATAGGTCCTCAGAGACATCTCACTCCCTGGCTGGGCAGCTCCACAAGTGTCCCACATTTAGACTATCACCTGCATATACCGTCTCCCCACCACTCCAACAACAAATACACACTTTGTCACCCACCATCCAAGAAGCACACATGTACTGTCACCACCACACACACACCACAATACCACACACAGAGACACACACACTTGAGCTTAGGAAACTTTTCCTGGGGAAACTCCTTGTCCTCAGCCAGGTATGATGATGGTCTCTTGCCACCCTGTGCTTTCTCCTTCAGAGAACAGACCACCTTTACATCATTTCTATGATTGTTCTCCCTCTCTCCAAGGGCAGGGATTCTACCCATTGGGCTCATTGTAATGCTGGAATCTCTTGATGGGGATCAGGAGCTCAAGGTCCCAGGATGCCCAATATGTGATATGAACCAGTGGACAGACTAGGGCGACTCCAACCACTACAATTGCTGCTCAGGCTAGTGGTAGAGGACAGAAGTGACTGACCAGGAGGGCAGACACGTCTGTCTAGGTGGAAAGAACACATCTTTCCAGGACCATTGCAACTGTGAAGAATGGGGACTCATTGTTGACAAAATTTCTACTGCTCACAGGAAGACAAAACTCTTGGTATTTAAATAAAAATATGTATTTTTCACATATTCATGCACATTCATGCCAGATATTTTCTACACAGCTACCTTTCATTTAGTAAATCTTCCTTTTCTCATGTCTAATCTATTATCTAATTACTCCATCTATCGTGTTCTACATTTTAGTTTCTTTTCATTTTGATTTTCCATTTATTTTTCTCTTCTATATTACAGTGCTCTTGTTAAATTCTCCAATGCTCTATCTTCTTTGACATAGTAATCATCATTCTTTTAAAGCCCATGTCTATGAATGAAGGTAGTAGGAAGAAAAAAAGATGAGGCAGAATTAATATTAGAAATTCAGAGACCCAGTCCTAGCCCAGGTCCGGTGAGTGTGCAGAGAGTTTCCTGCTACCCTGCGCCGGCGGGACCAGTCCCAGCCCAGGTGCAGCGTGGGCCT